CACGTTTATATTGGAAGAGCAAACTAAACTGCCCTACTGTATCGGAAGTGATAAGTAGAGATAGATGGGAAGATATAAAGTCCAAGATTCACTTCCATGATAATTCACAAATTCCCAAAGTCTGCAAGAGTTCAACATGAGCACCGCCAAAGCTCTTCTTCTTGAAGGAAAAAGTAATAGACCAACAAAAAGAGGCAGACCTTCTACCAGCTTTACTGATGTTGAGTTTGCTGACAAAAGGAGAAGAGGTCCTGCCACCAGAAGTCTCCCTGGAAGAGACACCCGTCTGGATGGTCTTCACCATTACCCTGAGGTCACAAACAGAGAAGATGCAAAAATGTAAATTGCAAGCTTGCACCAGTTATTTTTCTGCAGCAAGTGCAAAGTTCATCTTTGTATCACAAAAGAAAAAAATTGTTTTGTTCAATTTCACACTAACTAAAATTATAAACAAATAAATTTTGTATTATATTTTATAAATAAAATAAGTTTTCGGTTTGTTTTTATTGAATAAACTAAGATTAAAAATAATATAGAAATGAAGGTGTATTTTTTATTCTTGTATTATAAATCCGTGGACAAATGTGACAATTTGGTTACATTTTAAAAACATTGCAAATTTTATATTTTTTCATATATTTTGGTTGTTATATATTGATAACTATGAAAGTAAAGAATAAAAACAAAACTTTTTTCCTGAAATTAAGAATTCAGGCATTATAGGGTTAAATCATTTTATTGGGAGCTCTTACAGATATCATCACATTCCGTAGTTCAATCACATCAAGCAATATCGTACGATTGCTACCATAATCAGTTTCAAAACATTTTCTTCTTTCTGGAACTTACTAAGGGTCCATCTTGACACGTTTCTCTCATACCCAATGTTCCGGGTGTTAGGTACCTCTACTTTCAAAACACATGCAGATCCAACCTCTCTTTACCACTTTCCCCCCTTCATTCTTGGTCCAGGACTCCAAGACTCCTAGACAGGATGCTCACCCTGGCCTCCGCCTCTGCTCTCTTCCTGCTTCCCCGCTTGCCCCACACAGGAGCCAGAGCCGTGATACGTCCTAGATTCCTCTGTCCACACCTTCTCATGACTTCCCTTCTTGTTCTGAGTAAAATCCTAAGTCCTTCCCAGGATCTTCAAGACCCTACATGACCTGGCCAAGAGGTCAAAGGGCACCGTGATTCAGCGCCCATTTCCCCCCTCTTATTCACTCCATTGCAACCACATCAGCCTCTTTCTTCATCCCTAAATACCCCAGCCTTCTCCCTCCTCGCTGCTGCGCCTTCTGCAGGGAATGCTCTGTCCCCCAAAACCTTCTTTCC